CAGATGGATGGATCATGGATGGATGGATGTATCATGGATGGATGGATCATGGATAGATACAGATGGGTGGATGGATGGATGATGGATGGATAGATTGACAGATTCATGGAATGTATGGACAGATGGACGGGTGGATGGATCATAGATAGATACAGATGGATGGATAGATGGCTGGATGACTGGATTAATGGATGCATGGAATGTATGGACAGATGAATGGATGGATGGATCATGGATAGATACAGATGGACGGATGATGGATGGATGGATCAATATGGATCAGATGACTGATGGATGGATGAGTAGATGGATCATGGATGAATACAGATGGATGGATGATGATGGATGGATCATGGATGGATGGATGATGGATCATGGATAGATACAGATGGGTGGATGGACGGATGGATGATTGATGAATGGATTGACATATTCATGGAATGGATGATGGATGGATGGATCATTATGGATCAGATGGCTGATGGATGGATGGATCATTATGGATCAGATGGCTGATGGATGGATGGATGGATCAGATGGCTGATGGATGGATCATGGATGAATGGATGGATGGATGGATGGATGATGGATGGATCATGGATGAATGGATGGATGGATGGATCATGGATGGATGGATGGATGGATCATGGATGAATGGATGGATGGATGGATGGATGGATGGATCATGGATGAATGGATGGATGGATGGATGGATCGTGGATGAATGGATGGATGGATGGATTGATGGGTGCATGGAATGTATGGACAGATGGATGGATCATGGATGGATGGATGGATGGATGGATGGATGGTGGATGGATGGATCATGGATGAATGGATGGATGGATGGATGGATGGGTGCATGGAATGTATGGACAGATGGATGAATGGATGATGGATGGATGGATCATGGATGAATGGATGGATGGATGGATGGATGGGTGCATGGAATGTATGGACAGATGGATGGATCATGGATGAATGGATGTGAAAAAATGGTTTGTTTCTTAGAAGATTTTGTTTCTTGCTACGTAACTTCTTGGTCGGTCTCTTCCTGACTTAAAAAAAAACCAGGAGTTTACTGGAGACTTTTATTTTGAAGGGCTCATTTCCGTTGTCCCTGCCTCGCGCTGTCACACTTGACGCCGTCAAACTTTGCCTTACATCACCTGTCAGTGGGTGTGCGTGTTTACGAATGGCTCGTGCGGCAGTGTGCGTGTAGCGACCCTGTCCTCCTCCAGCCTCCGACATGACCTGCTCTCCGGGCTGGCTGTGGACTCTGGCCGCCGGGCTGCTGGCCGCGCTCCTCCTGCAGAGGCTCCGCTTCCCTCTCTTCTGGAGGGACTTCTTCTTTCTGTCCAAGGTGATCAGGTACGGGCTGAAGCTGGAGCTGTTCAAGCTCACGTTCAGCGTGCGGACGGTGCTGGACCGGTTCGTGGAGCAGGCTCGGCGCGTGCCCGACAAGCCGTTCGTGATCTACGAAGGAGCGGTCCTCACGTACCGGGACGTGGAGCTGCGCAGCAACAGGTTGGCGCACGTGTTCCTCCAGCAGGTGGGCCTGAAGAAGGACCAGTGCGTCGCCCTGCTCATGAGCAACGAGCCCGACTTCCTGTGCGTGTGGTTCGGCTTGACGAAGCTCGGCTGCTCGGTGGCGTTTCTCAACACCAACATCAGGTCCAAGTCGCTGCTGCACTGCTTCAACTGCTGCGGAGCCAAAACTCTCATCGTGGGTTCAGGTAAACACGCGCGCGCGCGCACACACACACAATCTTCTATTTCTATTCTTAAAAGGACCGTGCGTTGACTTTCATTCACTTCTGTAGCCCCAACCATTGACCCTAAACCAAAGCATGACCAGTACATCCAGAACCCTAACACCCCACTTAGTCCTAAACCTAAACCCCCACTTAGTCCTAAACCTAACCCCCACTTAGTCCTAAACCTAACCCCCCACTCAAAAACTGTATCCCATCAAATCAGAGCCAGGGTTTAGGAGGACTAGTGGTCCTCATAAGGTAAGTATATCACAAAAGTCCTTAAAATGTAACGAAACCAGATCACACACACACACACCTGTCTCACACCAGTACACTCAGGTAATAGAGTTTATCTTGTTCTTATCAAACCTTTAGTTTGATAAGAACCTTTTGTATTTGTCTCTAAGTGGAGCGTCTTCTCTCACTCTTTGCTCAGACCTGAGCTCATGGGAACCTGTTCATTCAGATCCGGACTAACTCAGAAATCTGGTTCTTCTACCCAATCCTGTTTGGGTTGTTCTTCCATTGTTTGGTTTAGACCCCCAACAACTGGTTCAGTGCTGCACACCTGGACTTTCGAAGAACATTAAAAATTAGAGGCTATATATAAAAGTTGTTTAATAAAAAAAAAAAAACAATAATAATAATGAATGAGTTACTCTTTCTGTGTAAAATTACACTTTAAACATTGATTGGGGGAACGAAATTATACACAGGGTCCCAGTTACATCCAACAATAACAAAAAAATATAAATTGTAAAACCTTTGACTGTATTAAAAAAAAAAAGTCCATTTCATGGTACAAAGCAACACAAACCTTTAGTAACTCACCTAAAAGTACACTTTTGGATAATCTTTTATAAAACTTGGCTAAATATAGCAAGTGTTTTCAATGAAAGTAACTGCAGTTGTTTAAATAATCTGTAGCACGGTGGATCAGAATGTAGAGCTGCCGCCTCTCAGCGAGCAGGTCGCCTCGGTTCAAATCCCGGCCGGGGGTGGAGTTTGCATGTTCTCTCCGTGCATGCGTGGGCTTTCCCCGGGTACTGCGGTTTCCTTCCACAGACCAAAAACATGCATGTTAGGCTGATAGATACCACTTTATATTTTATTAAAAATGTTCAATCTCCCTCTATCGATTATTAAATACATCCATTATCTTTAACCCCTTCTTCCTTTTCGGGTCACATTCCTCCCCCGCATAATGTCGGCGTCATTATGTGCTAGTGTGTGAGATTTTTTTTATTATCACGGTGTTGACCTTCAACCAGAGGTTAAATTGTGTTAGGAATTTTTTTTTCTCCAAACCCTGTGTTATTTTTCACCACTTTTTATTGTCCGTCCAAACAGATCTCACTTGTAAATGAGTCTTCGAGGCTCAGCGTGACTTATCTGTTTTAAATAAAGGTTGAATGAATGAAAAAGGCTCCCGGCCAGGATTTGAACCGAGGCGACCTGCTCGCTGAGAGTCGGCAGCTCTATCAACTGATCCACTGTGCTGCCAGTTATTAAATCAACTGCAGTTATTTTCATTTAAAACACTTGCTATATTTAGGTCAAGGTTCCTTTATTGTCATTCACATCATATGTGGTACATGTGGTGGAACGAAATTGTGTACATATGGTCCCAGTTACATCCAACAAAAGTGTACGTTGTAAAGAAAAACAGTATACAAGGTTTCAAGATTCTTTATTGTCGTTCGCACCCCATGTGGTACATGTGGTGGAATAAAATTATGTACACAAGGTCCCATCCAACAATAAAATGTAAAAGAAAAACAGTAATAAGATCTAAGATATGAACCAAGAAAAACATTCACTAAATAAACACTAAGCACTAGTAGCATAAAAACATTACGTCAAACAGCAGCATGAACATGAGTCTGTGGGAGCAGATGAGCACGCATGAACACATCAACATGAAACAGATCAGCAACAACATGACATGATTTTTCAGTGATTATTCTGGTTAAAGATTCATGAGTGTAACAGCCTCAGGGTAGAAGCTGTTCCTCAGTCTAGTGGTTCTACACTTAATGCTCCTCAACCTCCTTCCTGAGGGGAGTGAGACAAAAAGTGTGTGTGCTGGGTGAGTGGGGTCCTTCATGATGCAGGTGGCCCTCTTCCTGCATCTGGAGGTGTAGATGTCTGTGATGGTGGGGAGACTGACTCCAACAGATTTCTGTGCAGCAGCGTTTAGCCAAGTTTTATAAAAGATTATCCAAAAGTCTACTTTTTGGTGGGTTATTAATGGTTTGTGTTTTACTTAATATTTCTCATTTTGTGATGTTTTCATCACTTTTGCTGTTAAACCTAAAATATAGATATAAAGTATCATCATTAAATTTCCAGATGGTCTATATCTGCATCAACTTCTGAAGCCTGCATGTATAAATTATACCATTCCTAAATTGCAGTCACGGGCTGCATAAAATCACTCCCAAGAGCTATTAATGGCCTTTGGGCTTATATCAAAATAATACATCACAATATATATTTATATAATATAATTATATTATTGGTATTGATATATATTGTATAATATATACTGTATAATACACTGATTTTATTATAAGCAATATATAATAATATTTTATTACAATCTATATAAGATATATAATATAAATATTAGAATAAATTTATCCAAATAATATTAGGTACACTAAGAAGAAACAAAACTTAAGTCTCTTCACACGTGATGACAACCCTGCTATGATGTAAAAAATCAGTTGGTCTTTGCTGGGTCTTGGCGAGACTTAATACAAACACAGTGGGTTTGTCATTACGTGTTACAGAGGTCATGGAGAGGTTAGAGCATACACAAAATTACCGGCGTGATGGTTTATTATTATGGCTGCAGCATATCGGGGTCCTGTGGGGTATTTTGATAGAGGAGGCAGCATAGTTATGATATGAGTCTTGGTCATCAAGAAATTGAATCAAGACCATGTTGACCTCCTGTCTAAGCAGCTGTGACAAATTCATGGAAACAATATAGAACAAAAGGTAATAACGATAATGATAATAGTGATAATAATAATATTGATGATGATGATGAAAATAATAATGATAATAATAATAATGGATCCTATTTATACTTTACACTTTACATTTGTAAATCTCGTGCTACATTTCAAGAGTCATAAAAACTAAATGAACAAAAAATAAAAATGATCAGATAAGGTAGGGCCATAAAAAACAATGGAACAAATGCGTTTTTAATCTTTTTTTGAAGGATTCTGCCATCTGTGGTTCCACCAGGTGGTTTGGAAATGAATTCCGTAAATGAGGAGCAGCAAAGCAAAAGGCTTGGTACCCCATGGCGGTGAGCTTAATTCTGGGAATTTGAAGATGGGATGAGTTGTTGGAACAGAGGGAACAAGTTTTGATCTGTGGAATGAACAGCTTCTTGAGGTTGAGGGGGGCGTTGTCATGATGCATTGGTGTGTCTGAAGACGCATCTTGTACTGGATTCTGGCAGGGACAGGAAGCCAATAAAGAAGACGCAGGACTAGTGTTATTTGCTCATGTTTTTGCTTTTTTGTCATGAGTCTGGCAACACTGTTCTGGATGACTTGGAGCTTTTGAAGGTTGTTATTAGAGATGCCAAAAAGAAGCAAATTGCAATAGTTCAGTCTTGACAAAGACATAGAGAAGTTTTTCAGCATCAGACCAAGGTAGTGATGAGCTGAAACTTACTATGCTTTTCAGATGAAAAAACAACGTTTTACATAGGTGTTTAACATGGCAGTCAAAGGAAAGTACGGGATCAAACCAGACACAAAGGTTGGTGACAACAGAGGGTAGTGGTATGTCCTGACCAAAAAAGATTATAGCTATTATGGGAGATGACTGGAGCTGATGGGGAATGTCAATCAACATGGCTTAAGTTGTGGAGCTGTTCAGTTGGAGAAAGTTTTCATTCATCCATGACTATCTCCTCCAGATAGACATTAAGTGTGAATGGTGATGGGAGGGATGTAGAGGATGAAGCAGATTGGTGGTGATCTGTTTGTATGTAAGTTAGTTTCATCAGCATAGCAGGAAGAGTATTCCACAGAGGCTGATGGCTTGACCAAGTATCAAGTTAAGGACTGACTCTTGAGGAACCCCACAAGTGACAATATGATTATTTGACTTGGCTTCCCTGATGGCAACATGTTCAGTCATGTTTGAAAGGTAGGACCAGGATCCATCAAGAACAGTATCATGAAGCCCAATAGAGTGAAAAAGGTGGTTTAGGAGAACATTGTGATCAATGGTGTGCAATTCTGAATACAAGTCAAGAACGATAAGAGATGGTGAACTTGCATCTGCTGCCATCAACAGGTTTCAGTGGATAAATAATGTTACTAATTGAATTTTTATGTATATTCAAATTCAAATTCAAAAATACTTTATTAATCCCAGAGGGAAATTAAATGTTGTTGTAACTCATCATCCTGGTTTCATTAAAGAGTTGTTCTAGATGCTGATGGCTGTGGGCAGGAAGGATCTCTTGTAGCGGTCTGTCCTACAATGTATTTGAAGAAGCCTCTGACTGAAGACACTTTGTTGTTGTATGACAGTCTGATGAAGAGGATGCTGAGGGTTGTCTATAATGTTCTTCATTTTATGAAGAATCCTTCTTTGAACAATCATCTCCAAAGGTTCTAGAGGAGTCCCCAGAACTGAGTCAGCCTTCTTTATGAGCTTGTTGATCTTTTTTAAGTCACTTGCTCTGGTGCTGCTCCCCCAGCAGATGATGGCAGAAGAGATAGTGCTCTCTACAACAGACTTATAGAAGATATGCAGCATCTTGCTGCAAACGTTGAAGGACTTCAGCTTCCTCAAGAAGTACAGTCTGCTCTGTCCCTTCTTGTAGACGGCTTCACTGTTGCATTTCCAGTCCAATCTATTGTCCAGGTGAACTCCAAGGTATTTATACTTCTCCACCACCTCCACTTCTTCTTCTATGATGAAAATAGGGTTGGATCTGT